GCTGGTGGGAGTGGAGATGTTGCTGCTGCTGCTGGTGCTGCAGTTGGTAGCCGGACTGCATATACGCCTGCTGCTCCACCTGGATCAGCTTGATCACATTGTGCTGCAGCTCCATTATGTTGGGCAATGTGGGCTTGTAGCTAATGTCCAGCAGCACTTTGGGTGACACCGAACGAGCGCTCATCATTTGGTGATTTTTCTGGGTTTTCTAAAGCACTTCCTGAGTTAGGATTTTTTGTATTTAAATATAATATGTATTTTTGGAACTTTAGAGGTTCTTGTGTAGTTTCACGCCCGCGTTTGGTGGATCGATCTGCTTGCACGCACTGACGGAACGCAACTGACGCACGATCCTTCCGGCCATTGCTCAAATTGACATTTTGCGGCTGCTCGTCGGCCATTCGCTGCCGCCGCCCTATCGTCGTCCCGCTCGCGCGCCCCTATGGCCATCTCGCTCCCACCCAATGGCGGAAGCTGCGGCAGCAGGTATGACGTCAAGCGGCGGGCGGGGGATTTCGATTTTCTCGAGCGGCAACGGCGGCTGCAAAATTCTTCTGGCCGACAGAAAAATGAGAGCCTTGACTTCGGTCTGCGCCTTGGATTTTACATCGCCTCTCTTGGGTAATTCTTTGGGTTTTCTCTCGATCTGGGAAAATATCGGGGAACGCACGCTGGAAATCGGGTCGGGGAATATGCCGGCAGTTGTCGGCAATATTTGAAATAAATTTAAATTTGTTGATACGACTTTGCTCTTAATGTTTTTGAATTATCGCCTGACTTTGCATCTTTTAAAGATTGTAAAAGGATCTTTAAATGATATATATCTCTAGACAGATTGACTGTTGTCTTATTAAAGTTTTTAAAACACGAAAACTATTAACAAACACTTCTTGAAATTAACTATGTATTTATGCTGAACCTTAAAATAAACAAAATTATGTATAAATGATTTGATATAAAACTCAAACCCTAATCTTTTTTGTTTAATGTTATACAAGTTGTTTTATTATCTCAAAATAATAAAAGCCTTTTTGTTCGATATACTAACTGCAATGCCCAGATTTACGTTATAGAAATATCATCGAAAAATGATAAATATAAAGAAAACTCTTTTAATTAAATTTTGTTTCACTTTAAAGCAATTTAAAATATTGTTATTTCAGTATTAAAATTCATTTGTCGACATTTTCCGAAGTCGAGCTTAAAAATAAACATAAAAATAAATTAACAAAATTGCTTAAAATTTAGTAAGTTCCAAATGTAACCTTTTTTTGTTTTGCTATTAAAATGTTCAATTGACTTTACGACTAAAATGTTTAAATTAATTACTAAATTTAGATATAATTAATAACCTTTTTAAACTTTTATTATCCTAAGCATACATTTGAAGAAAACTATACGGTTTTAAGTTAAAAATCTATTTAATCAAAATAAATGTATTTTTATTTATCTGATTGAAAACTTTCCTAATCACGTTTTCTGTCTGGGAAAATTTCAGTTTATAGGTACTTCGGACATGCAGAATTTTCCCAGGAAACAGGCCAAAATGTTTATACGCCAGCCCATCAAAATCATTTCGCTATTATATAATCATCAGTTGCCAACTATCGTAAAGCGTGTAAATCCTCAACCCTAGCCAAGGGGAACTCCGCAAAAAAGGTTTCATTATGCCTAATTAGTGAATTTCCACACACACGTACCGAGAAAATCGCAGACGAAAACCACTCGGAGGTCCGAAAATCCAGAAAAATACGAGCGAAAAGTCAAATTTCCGGATATAATTATCTGCCTGCCTGCCGTGTCCACCAAAAATACCCGATTAATGCAGAGCGCGAACTTCCGCTGGAAAAAACCGCGATCTTCGATCGCCGGCTTAGGTAATAGCAAAACCCCAGGACACGGAATCTTCCCCTTAGAAAAACCACCAACAGGGTTTTGCCCTGCCCTTAAACTACCTGGATCTGAAGAGTTTAAAAATTATATCGGATATTATTTATAAACTGATTATTATTATTGAGTTTTGCTTAATTGATTAGATTTGTCATTTAGATTGGTTTATTGAATTAAGATTTGCTGTGAATAAAGAATGACGTACATAACAACTTAAATAAATAATGTCAAAAGGTAATCTCGCTCTGATTTATTTAATTCACATACTCTTTCTTTAGCATCCAAAATTCTGCGAGTTATTAGAGTAGTTGATTTAAGTGATTTGGAGCTTATTATATAAAATCATTAGGCTTTTAATGAATTTATTTATTTTTAAAAAGCTCTCATACGTTTTCTTATTGGATGTGGATAATTAAAAATATATATTTTATTATTTGGTATTGACTCCCTACTAAATTTTCAGTAGGTCAAAATTAAATTGTTTGTGACACACCCTTAAGTCGTGTTGTATTTTTTATGGCCCTTTAAAAATGAAACTATAATAAAATTGAACAAAAACATTGCCTACTTTTTGGATAAAATGTTTGTAATAGAAAACTGCAAACAGCGCCTTAAAGTATACAAAAGAAATCGCAAGAATTCTGGTAGAAAAGTCATTTTTATCATGTGCTGTTAATTTAAAGAAAAACATAGCAACCAAATTTGTATGAAAATAGCCAAAGTAAATTATTGTTTTAATTATTTTGTTCAAAATATATTTTTTCTTTGCGCTACTTATTATGAAACTCTGCTGGTAGATGGCGCCACAAGCGATTGTAAGAAAGATGTAGATCCGATCCAACCGCTCAAAATGATCTTAATGTTCCAATTGGACACGCTGCAGTCACGTAGTTTATTGATTTCAATTCCGTTTACGAACCCAAATCAAACGAAAAAAAAACCAAATCGGAGAGAAGCTGGAAAAGGTATTTTGCGTATTACTTTTTTTGCGATGCTGCTTCTGTTTTTCATCTCTTGTCTTTTTTTTCTGACTTTGCGTGGTGCGATTGCCAAACGATTTTCAAGCGGACCAACTTTCCATTTTGACAATGCTCTAATCCTGCCATCGCAAAAACCATGTGTGTGGCAGTGTGCGGAGCGTGAGAAGAAACTTTTGGTGCACGTAAATCTCGCTCGACAATCAATTAAAATTAAAATATTTTTTGCCTGCCGAGAGCGCAAGCGTTGTCTACATATTCGAATTGACTTTTGATGATGTATCACGATTTATTGTTACCAAAAATGGTCGTCAAAGCGCGTGGAAAAGTGGATCAGGTAGTCTGGCGACGTCTAACGGTTGTGTTAGTGGGATAAAACGGGGCGGAGAGCGGTTTGCAGGCAAACTCCCACAGCTTTTGGTCTTACAGTGCCAACCCCATATATTGAACAACTCAACGGAATTTGGTTCCCAAACAAATTATGAATTTTCATATATTTTGTGTTCATCATGGACAAATTTTATCACATCAACACAAATTTCTTATTCTCAAAAAAATATAATGTTACTTAGGCCCTCGTTGACATGGGAAGTAAACGAAACGTGAGTTTGTTAAAAAGTCTAATACAATTCTAGAAGAGCACCAAAACTACCAAAAATAATTAAATACGGTATTCTAAAATTTGTTAGGTTCAGAATCTTTTCAATTACTTAGTAAGGTAACATCAAATAATATAATACAATTATCATCTAACCATTATGCAGCTGGAACAAAACTACATTTGCCGATTCGACTTCTATGTAGAAATGACTATGAGTTTATATATATGCAGTGAGTAATAGTTAAATACTATTGACAAAATAGTCACATTTTTTAATTGTTCTTAAGAAACAAGTAACGATAAAATAACTCACTAGACCTGAAGTTCACCAAAAATCAGTTAGACAGGTCTTTTTCCAAAAACACATTTCCTTTAATGGAAAATGAGTAGATAAAAATATTTGCTACAAATACAGTAATCCCTGGAAATGGCAAACAAATAAATAATACAAGTTCTTAGTATACAAATGTTATGTTCCTTAATATCAAAATACTGATTTTTTTGTTTTAAATATATAAGAACATTTTAAGAACCTGCTATAACCCAAAGAAAAGTCTTACTGGTGCCTTCAGTTACTCTAGCTTTCGTATAAGTAATTCCTAAGCGAACTTTAAGACTTTCACAACTCGAGCAACCATATGCAACTAAAATAAGTGCAACTAATGGAGGCTTTGAGTTGTAAAATTTATGAATTTGTTTGAACTTTTTATTGACAGCCAAATGTGTTTGACTTTTAGAGACGGATGTTCGACTGTGGGCTGTCATTATTTTTTAAGTATGTAATTTTCTTAAATAATAAGTTTACATTTACGAAAGATTATATTTGTTATGTTTGCACAATATTTTACAATTAATTATGTTACCTGAGATTTAAATTTACGTTTTCTGTAATTAGTGACTACAGACTGAACTTAGCGAATTTCGACTGTAAACATGTAGTTAAAGAAAATCGTGTGCGATGCAGCCTCTGAGATTAGACAATAAAGCCGCTTGATGGAAACTGTGGCTGCTGTCAGCAAGTGCCCCAAAATGTATTTTATGTTTGTGTTAATTGTCCCCACTCACCTGACCCACCCGCTACACCCCACCCCCTCTGCCCAGGCCGACAGCCAATGAAATCGCTGGCGCCAAACACCTACACTTTAAGCTTGTCAGTCGGCTGTCTGGGTGTGAGTGAGTGTGTGTGTGCTGCATGTTAATTAACAGCCGGCACAAACACTCGCACACACACACAGCTACATAAATGGCAAAAAAGCGCTCACACACACACATGCGAGCTTGGGTGGGGGCTTTCACACACACAGGCCAACGAATGTTGGCCACCCAATAATATAAGCGCCAACTTGTCATTTTAGCCTAGCTCCACCTTAACTAAACAAACAAACAAAGTGGTGCACAAACACAAACACATGCTCACGAATGCGTGTGACGGGGGTGTGGTGGGTTTCGCAGCGCCAAGCTCACCACGCTCTGGGGAGCCAAGGTTGGCGGTTGAAATTCGAAGAGCTCAGAGCAAGTTTGCTCCGCGCCGCGTTCAAACGTGCTTCGGTGGTAAACGCTTCCTTTTACTTTTAAATTCAGTTATTTCACCCAAAAAAAAAAATGAACAAAAATATAAAAAAAGGAGAACAGAAATACTACAAATATAAACAAATTTCAGGTGACACATATTTGTATGCGTTCCATTTCGTTTCGTTCCGTTGCGTTTTTTAAGCCGGCTTTTTCTGCGCATGCGTGCGTGCGTGCACTGCGTGTTGCATTTTGGTGTGTGTGTTGGTGCGACGCTTTAAATGGCGTTTTAAGTGAAATTAAAATGACGGATGTGCTGTAATTTGCACACTCACGCTCGCTCAATAAATACAACAACTAAAGCTACAGCAACAACAACACAAACAACGAATAAAACCAAGAATCAAGAGGAATAAATAATAACAACACACGCTGTTTGGTGGTCGGGGCGTTGTATTTGTAGCATGTGCCTTAGTTGATCGAATTAAGTGCGAGTTTTATAGCGCCCGCGGGACCGGGAACTGCAATTGACTGCCGGCCGACTGAGCAACCGGAAATGCAAGCCCAGGCCCAGGCACAACAACAAAAGCAACTACGACAACAAGTGTAACACCCCCGCCCAGGAAACGGCGGCAATAAGTGCTAATAAGTGAGCCGCAGACTATAACTAAAACCGGATGCAGGGCCACTAGTAATTGCCAATTTTAGTTATCACCATTTTTTTGTGTTCTTCTCTCGTTCAATTGGAAAAATCGGCTGGTTTGTTTTTTGGTTTTGTTGTATTTATTAGTCATGCTTAGGCGACTCATAATATATTTGCCTAAGTAACTTCGTCACGCACTGCGCACTGCATTCGTTACCCCTCAAAATGCGGCTTTTGCCTCTGCTACGGTGGCCCCCCTCCCAAAAAAGGGTCGCCCCCCGCCACCGAAACGCAAGTTAAAGGCATAAACAAGCAAAGGAAATAAAAATAAAGAAGCACAAAAAAAGGGGTAACGAAAATAAAAATAAAATAAAAACTCAAGGTGCGTTGCACTCGTTTTGTCATTGATTCCGCGGATGCGAAATAGCATGCGGCAGTTGCAAAAAAAACACAGGCAACAGCTGCTGCGACAAAAGCCAGGCCAAAAGCAAAAGCCAAAACCAAAACAGCGATTATTTCAAGCATCCGCCTCCACTTTCCCGCCCCGCCTTGCAAGAAACCCTTGCTGCCTGTCTTTTGTAACGTGGCCAGAACGTTGCCGGGCAATTATTATTTTGTAAGACGTTTTACAATTTAATGGTTTTCATGGTAAGTACAACGACGGCAACGGCAATGGCAACTGCAACGCCAACGCCAACGCCAACGCCATATGCCATGTGCTCCCCTTTCTCGGCCACCTCGAAGACCTCTTCGACCCTGTCAGCTGAAAGTTTGTTTTGGTGACTCGAGGGTTACGGGGTCAGGGGTTCAAAAGGGGTCACGAGGGGAGCCGCGGCTGACACCAACCTGTTGCATTTAAAAGGGGAAAAAGCGCTTAATTTCCTCTGTTTCTGCTTCTCTTTGCAGAATGGACTTGGATCCGACCCTCTGTCAGCAAAGGAGGTAAGTTTGCGGATAACCTTAGATGGTAGTGATAAGAATTGGGTGAAAAAGAGTGGTTCAGAAAGAAGATGTTGTAAGCAAAGTATTATCTAGTTCATCATCAGGCAAAATTTACCTTTTACGGTTTCTAGAGTTTGGATTGGAGGAATACAGCTGACATTATTAAATCAATAGTACATTTATAACTTAATACTAACAAATTCCTTAACTTATTGGAAAATATATTATTTGTACTTAACAATTCATGCAGCAAGCGAACATTTGACTTTTACATAGACAAGCAAGTACTTAAACCAAAATTTATATATTCATAATTATGATCTTTAGAATATTGTTTAAAATCAAAAATAAATTAAATGATGATTCGTAATAATGAGCAAAGAGATAACTCGATTACATTTTTTAGGATTATAAATAGGTTATTAAGCGACTGACTTTAAAAGATAACCAATAAATTCCTTTCGACATATTTTTACCAGTCAAGTTCTTAGAAATGAGTTATAAATCGGTAGCAACACTTTTATTTTTTTATAATAAGATTTTATTATTTGTTTGCCATATTTTAAACAAACAATAGTCTATTGCAATAAACACGCCAAGCAGATAAATTTTAAAATTAAAAATTAAAGCTATTCTGGGTGCGATCGCACCAAGTTATTCGATGCAATCCTCGTTGTCCTTAAGTAATTGTTATTGGATGTAATTTGTCTTCAATATCAATTAAACACAACTCATTAAGGCCCATAAGTTTCATGCGCAACAATTACCGCCTAAAAAACGTCTATCAATTAAGCCCGAGCAGAGTGAAATATTTTCATGTTAGCGATACACTTCGGGCCATTCGAAATGACAATTGCGGAGGAATTCCCAGTGGGCCAATTCGTTTGGATGCCCCATAAAACCCATCCCATCCGTCTGCCTCAAAGGCAAAAGCCGTCCGAGCAGTGTCAACAGAAAACCACATACCAAGCGTAAGACAATCCATAAAATTGAGTTCCATCGGGGCTACTGACGGGGGAAATCGGAGCCAACTAATGTCCCGGCCATCATTCTATCAATTGCGGCGCCTATGAGAAATTTCAGCACGTCCCAACACAAATTAGCAGATCGGAGGCTGCAGCGCCCCATAACAATATCATAAAGAAGCGGCCTGGGGGGCGAGGGGGGTAAATCTATGTAACAATAAATCAGCGCGGGCAATTAGAGGGAAAAAGTAAACGGGGGCTAAGAAATATAAATACATAAATACCTTTGGACAGGGGCCAACATCAGTCGCATATCAATTGCAATCTCCAGCGTCGATCGCCGTCTCCCATCTAGATTTCGATTTCGATCTGGATCTGGATCTGGATCTCGGTGCAGATTTCGATCTGCTGCTGGCCAATGAAGTTGTTGTCAATGCTGTGGGCCATGATGCGGACAAAAAGCCAAAAAGCCAGAGAGACGTCGCTATTGGCCCCGCGGCTGCCATTCGACACAATCGAAGACAAACTATCTAATCTAATGCTGGCAATGAGCATTTGTTTGTATAAATAACTGCATGGCAGTAACTGGCGACAGCGGTAAACAACTGCTCAAATCGCGTGGCCAAGTTCTGGGTTCTCCAGCCCCCTCAAAATCACCTACCCCCCTCATCCTCCACATCTTTTCGCCCACTCGCCACTGACATTTTTTCATAATTTGCGCTACAAGCCTGACAATTGTCGTTGTTGCCCACTGGGCACACACTCTGCATCCATGGATCTTGGCTTCGTTGTTCGCCGTCTTGGTTGTTCGTTGCTGTTGTTGTTATTGTTGTTGTTGTTGCTGGTGTCGCTGGCGTTGTTCGCGACCGTGTTGTTGGCATCAGGCTGGATTACTACCCTGCAAGTGGAATAGGGTTAGTTGTTGGGTTAACCAAGTTGACGGGTTAAAAGGAAAACTTAAAAAGTCCCTGGGAATAGTGATATCAGCAGTATAAATGTGAATCAAAATAGTAGAGCTTAGGAAAATTTTAAAAAAGATAGCTCTATAAATTATTTAAAGAGAAATGGGAATGTTTGACCCAAAAAACGGAATCACTGAAATGATTTATGGAGTGAAGCTTCCAACTATTAGGTAGATCAGATAGATAGCGTACAACTCTTTATCTCAAATATCTGTTAATTTACCTTTTAATTAATCAAATTTAAAACGTTGGCAATGAAATTGTTCTCTTGTCATTTTTATACAATTTTTCAGTATTTTTTTTTTAAAGTTTTTTGACTATTATTTCGAAATACAATGAATAATTTTGTAATAGCCAATATTAACCTAACACACAATTTATCTTAGCATTTGTCCATATTTTTTACATACTAAAACGAATATTACAAAACTATAAGCTAACCTTCTAAGTGTAATTAAGAGTTGTAAATTTTATTGAAAACCGTGTAAACATTTTAGAACTTAAAATACTTTGCTTATTAAAAAGTACTTGAAGCTTCATAAATAATTTACACGATCGCTGTGGTCTTTAACTTTTTGTGTGCACTCAGGGTCCGAAACACCCCTTAAATATATTGTAAGCCTCGTTTAAATAATATTGCAAAGTGTTGGCTCTAACCCCTTCCCCCTATAAAATGCATATGCAGTGCCAAATTAAAATTTATCCATTTTATGGCGCTGCGGGCAGCTCATAACAGTTTCTTTGTTATTTTTGCGGCGTTTTTTTATTTTTTTTTTGGGTTTTTATTGCCGTTAGTTTATTGGCTAAAGATTTCGTAAGCGCATGAAATGCGCAACAATTGTGGTTTTTCGGTTTCTTCCCACTTATCTGCCCCGATCTCCCATATGGAGTAAGTAAGATATCGACGGAAGTCATTTGCGGTTGTTCCAGGTAGATGAATTCAATAAGCAAACAGCTCCCAAACACGCACACTCCACTTTATCCCCTTTCCCCATTCGAAAACCCCCCATGGACTAAGTTCTTTCCCGCAGTTTGCCCATCCAACACTTTCGCCCATCAACAACATTTTGTCAAACTTGATTAGGAGACGCAGCGCTTATGACTCTATTGTTCAGCTGCATATATAATAAGCCATATTAAGCCACCACTCCCCCGCCGCCCACCGATAAACAATATTGATGACGATGCTGATAATCTTTTATTTCTTTCCAATTCACAGGCAGAGGGCCCTCCGGTTCAGGTTGAACCAGTTGATTTGAGCTTACGTTCGCCGCGCGGTAAGTTGCTAATTATACGCTATCTTAGTTGACTCAACCTGAACTCATATACCGACTGGGCCGCAAACAATTAATCAATGAAATGGCCGCCACAAGTTGATCACTTGAAATAAGCAGGTCACAGCGAGAGAAAGAATATCGAACGACTAGGGAAAAATGGGGTACAAAACCAATTTGCATTTCTCGTCTAATGAAGTTGAACTATTTTTGGACATGGAGTGCCTAGAAGATGTTTTTTTTTGAATACCGATGGTGGGTGGAGTGAAAGGTATAGAGAAAATTACATTGCATTTTTGTAAAACATTGTTGGGTGTATGATATTTAGGGCACGCATGTGCAAATTTTTATCTGGAAATTGTACACATAAAGATTAAATATTTATTTTTGTTTACAATCAAATTTTATTAATGTTAAGTTTCTGAGCTGAATTAAAGCTTAAATGCTAAAAAACTGAGATTATTTAAATCCCTTCAAGTTGGCTAAGTTTAATAAGAAACTGTTAAATGCTTGGGAACTTATATTCTAATGGTCTATCAATCTGAAAGTTAAGGAGCTAAATTAAGGAGCTAATTATAGAGCGAAATTAAAAATTAATCAAAATTCTTATAATACCGACCGATACAATACCAAATACCTTCGCCTTAATCTGCGATACTCAATCAGATCACAAAAAAGATATTCTTGATGAGCAACAAATGATGAACAAACAATCTATTCGATAAGTAAAAGCGCAGCTCGTTTGGAACAATACAGAGATCTATGTTAAAGATATCTATCAGCATTAATATCAACCTATGATCACACTCCCCTTATAAAAAGCCCAAACACTAAATTCCTCAGATCTTCTACGGCCTACCCCGCACAGTCCCCTCTTCCGCGGATATGGGGCCGAGATTATCCGGCAATCTCGCAGACAAGTTCAAACAAAAGAGGAGACAAAACGTTAGTCATTGCCTAATGCTCATCAGGCGGAGCCATTCATACGTGAAAAAGCCTGATGAGCATCGCCGTGTGATCATCAGCAGATCGGCTGTGGGCCCATTAAGTTCATGCTGATTCCGCTGCGAGTATCGCTCCATATCCGACGCCCAGGAACCTGGCCCAAACAAGTGGCTGGGGATTCGGCGGGGGCTTCTCTGTGTTGGTTTACCCACTTGACCGATCGAGCGATCGACCAACCACCAACTGTTTGACCATTTGACCTTTGCCAGCCTTTCTCTTTGCTTCGATGTGAGTGTGTGTGTGTGTATATGTGTGTGAAGTTAACAGCAACGCCCCGAAAAACTGAAAAAGCCACAAAAAATTGACTAGATAAATAGATGGTTAGTTATACGGCCATCTACTCGCAGCTCCTCAGCCGTAGGGTGCCCAGCGGTACACCTAATTTAATTAAGAAGCCAGAGAGCTTACCTTAAATGGCTATACAGTAAGATTAACAGCTAAAAACCTGTGCGCTGCTCCGTTCATTAAAGATATCCAAGCCAAAGCCGGAGTCAAAAAGTTGTTGTCTCGCCGCGCATATTAATCAATTAGGCATGATATTAGTGAGGGCATCATTAATTTTGTCAATGCGCTCACCTGGCCACAAAAGCTATTTGAGAAGCGCATAGAGAGGCGGCGACGGCGAAGGCGACGGCAATCTCTCATGCTAATGGTTTATGGCGTGCTACCAGAGCGTCCACTGATCCACCGATCCACAGATCCGTGGCGAATGTGTTAAATAGCGTTAAAATTTGTAAAACAAACGGCACATAATGGTCCGGGTTAATTTCCAACCTTAACGGTCATCCCAAAAAAAAAACCTATACCACCCGAGCTCAGATTTTTCGGCACACATAAATTATGGGCTTTAAATAATTATGCAATTAGCCAGCGTAGCGATAGATAGCCTCGAATTGCCAATGAATAGAGGGCAAAGCCGTAGGCCCGAGAACGGCGGAGGAGACAGTGCCAAATTCCCACCAACTCTAATTGCAGTACCCGGGAGAGGTGAGAGCTGCGGCCACGGCAACTGCAACTACAACTTGATTTATTTAAGCTACCCAAACAGCCCATAAATAAAGCTGTTGAACTAGCCACCATTCCGGGAGCGGAGCGAAGGGAGCCGGCAGAAGGGTGGAGCCCCAAGACCGGGCAGGAGAGTCTCTGAGCCTGGGACATCCACAGTGCCTTACCCAAAAAACCGAAAAAACACAAGAAAAAAAAAGAAACAGTACAACATCGTACAATCCCACACCACCGGAGCCACTGCTTCATTGCCGCACCACCAACCACCAAACGATCGGCCTCTCGCCACTCAGGGGCATAGGCTTTCCAGGTTAAGTAGATGCGGCGACACGCGGGTCGATCCAGCGAGCGAACGACCTTAAGACGGAGATCCCAACCCGAATCGGGCGGATAGTGGAGGGGAGGGGGGTGAGTCGGCCAGGCGACGATGTCGGAGCATCGGCGCATCCACGGCATCTATCGAATGATATGCAACATTTAGTGAAGTGCTCGAGTACCAAGCATGGGCTGGGGCATATTGATGGCAAGGTGAAAATGTGACAGGCAGGTGGGCGCAGGTTGAGGAAGTGGTTGAAGGGAGAGAATCATGATCATAGCAGGATTGTATCTCGAAAGTATTATATTATATTTCCTTTAGTAACCAAAGCTAATGTGGCAACCAAAGACTACCGAATAATATTATCATAATTCATTCCATTAGCTTGTGTATTATACCATTCGTGACTTTGCTAGATAAGTTTCAACAAATTACATTAGGAGTTCGATTTAATAAGTCATTTCCAGAATATCAGCTTATTATTCAACCCGATAGGCCAGAAAAGACCTTCAGGTGTCAGTGCCCTTCTATCTAATATTTATCAGTGATTTTCTACCCTTATTTGTATTTCCAATGCATATGATATCTAAAAGTACGTCAGACATTTAGTGGGGTGAATCTTAATTTAATGATCAGTAGTTAAGTTTCAAATGATCATTGTTTTATAGAGAAACCTCTGGTCTAATCGCACAACCTCACTGAAGTTGTGTTACCGTTGCTGCACTTCATCGATTTGGGGATCTGGCCGGGCTGCTGATTTGGCAAATGCATCTGCTGCTCCCTCAGCGATAGTCAACTGAAGCCAGATCTCATAATCGCTGGCGGCTCCCAGCGACCTGGAGAGTGGAGACTCCACCGACTGGCCTCGCCCAGATCCGCCAGATCCACGAGATGCCCCAATCCCAGAACCCCGATCCCCATTTGCCAGGCCCGCACAATGCGATTCCGAAAAAGAGGGGAGATACTCACATCCAGTGGAGGGGCGTGTGGAGCGTGGTGATTGTTTTTTAATTATGCTTCAGCTGACACCCGGGCGGATGACCATTGGAGATGGGGAGATGGTCCGGGGATCGGAGGTCTGAAACTGAAACTGGGTGGAGACGCCGAGCCGTGTCTCTGGGCCTGGTTAACATGGCGCGTATGTAGCGCATCGAGTTGACTTGACTTGACTTGACTGAGTGACTGTGACTGGCTTTTGGGGTTATGTGAAAGGTCAAGTTCGTGATCGCATTCAAACATTTTTGCCAACCACTCATCTCGCTGCGCAGATCGGGCCCAGAGACCAGGGACTATAGACCAGGCCCAGACCATGGCCGAGGGACTGAGGAACTGGGGAACCGGGGAACTGAGACCCAGGCTGAGACTAAGACTGAGACTGAGACCAAGACCCGGGAGTAGAGTGCAAGGAACACGAGTGTGAGTCGCCGCCGCCGAAAAAAAGAAGAGAGAGAAGAAATACCCGACCCAAGCGACGTCGCATCGTAGAAAAATTGAAGATGAGCGTGCCACCACCACGCCACGATTCTGCCATTCCCGTCTCTGTCTCTGTGGACCCCATCCCCATCCCCAACCCCATCCCTATCCCCATGCCCATACCCATACCCATACCCATCCCTATCCCCCATCGCAATCCCCATCTGCCGCGGATCCCGCCGCCCTCGCCGGAACCGAATTGAGTGAATGTAAACTGTGGTTTACTTGTTTCCAGCGTTGTCATAGTAATTTTTCTGCACCATAACAACGGCCAGCGTCGCCTCCAACAACATCAAAATATACACGCAGAGAAATATCTCATTAAAAATATATGATAAAACATAATGTCAATGCAGGCAGCTTAAATATTCGTTTCAAAGCTCTCTATCACAAATTCAATTTAGAATTATTCTACTAATTATTGACTTGATTAATATATGTAGGGCTTGTTAGAATAAATTTTCTTTTAAATGCCTCAATTTTTTGCTTATTATTTTTCTCCTTCTCTATTCAAAATACGCTTTCTTCGAAGTTTAAAGTTTATTTATTTGAAGACTTATCATGAATGCGCTGTAATTTGGCATTTTCAAACGGTCAAACAATTAAAAAAAAATTCTAATGCCTAGTCTTGCTAGCACTTTCTCTAAGTGCATAAACTTTGGGGTGCTCTCGGATGTTCGGTGGCAGCACTCACCCGAAAACATTGAAACAAGCGGAGAAAAATGGAGATGCTGATGACACTGGAGACACGTTGTCTCTGGCAATCGTGCAACTGACACACCACCACCACCGACGGCACCACCAGCACCGCTAGTCCCACCAGCACCACCAATACCACCGGCAACAAAATGCTAGACAGCATATGCCACACGAAGTTTTGAAAAGATTACACTGGACAACAGGCGACGCGGATGGGGTGCGGCCAGCTGGAATTTCTGGGAGGGGAGGGGTGTGTCCCGAGGAAGATGATTTGGCAATTGTAATTGAAAGTTTATGCAAAGAGCAATTTCAAAGCTCTTTGGGAGGGGACAAATCAGTGAGGAAACTTCAGTAGCTGGAGAATGGCTGAATGTTTGGAATTTCTCAAATTAGAAACTAACAAAAAATTAGCACTCAATATATAACCTTTAAACCTTGAGCTTAGATCGATAATTGTTAGAAAGCTTTTCAGTTGTAGCTAATAAATTTTTTTGTATGGAAATTG